GTTTGGTAAAAACCAAGTCTCCAAGGTCGTACAATACGTGCGTACGGTTTTGACCGTTTTTCACGTGTTAGACCGATTGACCAAGATACAAAAGTGGTTTTTATAAAATAATTATTTGGGAACATTTTAAAAATGCTCAGAGGTAAAAACAGGGTTTAAAATATTGAAAACCACGGAGTTGGTTCGGGCGCCAAAAACCAAACGCCGAAAGCCGAACGCTGAAAGCCGAACGCCGACTCGACTAAGTCTTCAATTCTTGTCCTTGTCCTTGAGTCTTTTTGGTCTTGTTCCAAGCCATTCTTCACGCCTTGAGTTATTCAACGAAACTCTTTATATCCACGGCGGTTTGGCAATTATCAAAACTTGTCAGAAATGAACACGACTTTAGTTTATTGTACAAAGTGTGTTCCAACAGTAATCGGTTTGTTAAGCACCCGTAAGCTTAATGGAAGTAGTGGTAGCTTTGAGAGAGTCTCTCGGGGAACTGGACTAGCCACGAGGTGGTGAACCAGTATACATCGGTGTGTTCTTTGCCTTCTTTTATTTCCGCTGCACTTACGTTTATATTATTAATCCTGAAAAAATCGGTAAATATTCTCAACAACTCTATTCACCCCCCTCTAGAGTTGCACGCCTTGTCTAACAATTGGTATCGGAGCGGGTATCTCTAATGCTCCTTGTGACGTTTGAGGAAACGATCAATTTTTTTTTGAGAATGTTGAACGCGGGGATAAGAGAAGGGAAATCCACCGTAAGGTCACCATTTTTTGATGGAACGAATTACTCCTATTGGAAGGAGCGTATGAGAATTTTTGTTCAATCTAATAACTTTAAAATTTGGCTTGCTATCAAGAATGGAGATAGCTTGCCAATGAAGAAGATAGGCGACACACTCATCCCGAAGGACGAGGATGAATATGATGAAGCCGATCTTAAGAAGGCTCAATTAAATGCCACCGCCATCAACTTCTTGTATTGTGCTGTCAACGCCAACGATTATCAAAAGATATCTCGTTGCCAAACCGCCAATCAAATGTGGAACAAGCTCATGATCACATACGAAGGTACGCCTCAAGTTCGTGAATCAAAAATTGATTTACTAACCCATGAATATGAGTTATTTGCTATGAAAGAGAACGAACTTGTGGAGGACATGTTTGGAAGATTTTCAAACATCGTCAAC